TTAACATATAATTATAGTCATTATCCATATTTCTTTACTTTATTTTCAGACTCAGCCAGAAAGGAAAATATGCTGGGATATATAGCAGAAGAATACTTAGGTGCTGTCCATAAGAGCAGATCATTATTATGGCTTTGAATAATTGTGTACATTTATATAAAATTTTAATATATTATATAATATACACTTTTCTAGGACATTTTTAACAATAAAAAAAACTTGTCGAAAGGCACATTAAAGAGCCATTTGAAGGCAAGCACTTCCTTTGACACATTAACACAGAGTAAATATATTAGTCTAAACTTACTTGAGTCGAGCATGCTGAAGTAATTATTTACATTTAACATAGACTTCTGGGGTAGAAAATTCTATCTAAGTTGCATTTCCATCCTTTCCATCCCTTTTGAAAAGCAATTGTAGGACAAATAGATTGCCAAAGACCATAAAGTTTATTGGTTTCTGCTGTCAGGATTCAGTGTTTGTAACTCCCTTGAGTGATGAAGAAGCTATCCATGCAGGCGTCCCTAACGATAAAATGTATTATCTTGTTAGGAGCAACATCACTCTTAGGAACTGATGTTGCCATGTAGAAATCTGCAGATCCAGATCCAGGTCCTGAGGCTATCATTTTACAATAATGACACTGACCACAAATCATTTTTTATTTTGAAGTTATTTACTTAAGAACTATCTTTTTAAGGGATCTAAGAGGCATTCTTGGGTTCTTTCAAATGACTTCACACACAAGAGACAAACCAGCAGATAATAAATTTACTTGTGATAAGACCAATGTGTTAAGTATGACAAAATGCTTATGTGTTGAAAGTCTGTAGAGATTCTCAATCATCCAGGTCATGGTTGTCCCAAAACTGCTTTTTCAGGAGGCAACTAGGACTTTCTTGTTTTTTCTTTTGAAGATGTTTCACTTCTCATACAAGAAGCTTCTTCAGCTATGACTGGATAGTGGGGAATGGAAGGATTTATATTCCTTCAAAAGCAAAAAAACAAGTCCAGTTGCCTTCTGAAAAAGCACCTTTGGGACAACTGTGACCTGGATGACTGAGAATCTCTACAGACGTTTAGCTATACAATTTGGGATGAAGACCCTTTGAATGGTGTGGGAGTAGGAATGGATTTCCAGAGAAAAATTGCAGACTACAGGAACCAGGAGCACCACTCAGTTGACCCTGAGGACATAGATAAACCTTCAAGTGCTTCAAGGACCCTCTCAAAGGATGCAAATGACCAGCTGTCTGCAAGGAACATTCCCCACTATCCTGTCAGAGCTGAAAAAGCTTATTGGATGAGAAGCCAAACATCTTCAAAAGAAAAAAAAACAGTTGCCTCCCGAAAAAGCAGCTTTGGGACTGCTTATGTGTTGTTTATAAAGAATTCTAATACCACATTTCTTCAAAAAATAGACAGGCAGACAGACTAGATAATATAAAGATAATGTAAAAGCCTTTGACAGGTCATAAATACATACTAAATGATAATTGGTACTGCCTTAACTAGATGTTAATTAAGAATACATCTATAAATATCTACACTGCAAATCGTTCTGTGTGATGACCCAGGGTAGAATTCAAAATAAACACAGTCCCAAAAAACAGGTAAAGCCCCTTTTATTCCTTCACTTTGCTTCCAAGCTCCAAATATCCTTAAATGGAGACAAAAAACTCCCACACAACTCCCTTACAAGAAGGACGAAATGCTGTGTAAATTATAAAGAGTAAAAAACAACACAAACCAGCCAAGATAAGGGCTTGAAGACATCCACAGATATCAGAACACACACTGGGAAGGATGTCAAACTCAGAGAGGAACAATAAACTAGAGGTATTTCCACACTTTGTTTCCAGCACTTGCCCGTACGCATGTCCGTCCTCTTATCCAGTTGTCACAGCTGCAGCCCATGAAGAGGATCAAGGCCCTCTCCTCCACAGTAGACCACACATCTCCCTTATCCTCTCCTCCCTGTGTGCCCTAGGATGGAGAGGGGATGAGCCTGGGTCCTCTTCTGACTGCCCAGCCCATCCCCAGCCTCCTCCACAACCTCCAGAGCCACATTTCCACTCCCTGTCAGCTGTTCCTCCTCTCCCTCAGAGTCAGTCTCCACCAGGGGCATGACATTGTGTGATCTTGCAACACAAGTTTGGAAGGACAGGTTGAATTACCCCTGCTTGGTGACAAATTATTGTGTTGGAGTACTGGAACATTCTTCCTTCTGAAGTTCAGTAGACAATCCAAAAAGCATTAATGACTTGGTTTGCCCCCAGGTCATTATGATGTGATAGGAGGAGATTACTGCATGTCGGAAGCTTAACATGGTGCCAGCTGTTTATTTTTAATCTTTATAGTTTTAATATGTTTTTTAATTTGTTTTATTATTCGTATTGCTATTGCTTTCAAAATCAATTGGTAGATACCCAGAATTTGGGATAAAATGAATGGCCCAGTAAATGCTTTAAATAAATAATTAAGTAAATAAAACTCATATTCATTTTTATTTAGTATGGATGGTTAAATTTATGCATTTGTACAAATATGCATGCTTTTTGCTCCTTTCTATTCATTTTGGAGCCTATTCAACCTGTGTTGTCAACAATGCTTATTAGAAGCTTTCTGTTTACCATGCTATTACTTTTCTAATCTCTGAGGTATTATTTATTTGGACTGATGCTTTGTCAACATTTCTAATTGCCTATTTATCTGCTTTCTGGCTGAAATAACACTTCAAACATTCCTCTTCCCACCCCCCTGCCATTTCCCCTACTTATGTGTGAACTTAATTTGTTTTACACGCTAAGTGTTCAATATTAAATTAAAACATTTTTGACACTAATGCCCAATTAAGGAAATGATTGAGGTAAATCAAAGGAACGTTTGCGTATGTATGTATGTATGTATGTATGTATGTATGTATGTATGGTATTCAGCTTTGTTCGGGTATTTTCTCACGTCATTATAGTTGTGCTTTTAAAGTTGTAGCAACGTTTCGGCAGAATCTCATCTGAAACGTTGCTACAATTTTAAAAGCACAACTATAATGACGTGGGAATATACCCGAACAAAGCTGAATACCATACATGTAAGTACCCAAAAAAACTTAAGAAAACATATATATGAGAGAAAACTATTTGTGTTATCTCCAAAAGAAACCCTGGGATTTTATGGTTTTATTTGACAGCAAGAAATAAGTATGAAAATGTAGTTTTTTATCATGATGTCCCAATTGAGGTTGTATCCCAGGGGTGTCAAACTCAAGGCCCAGGGGCAGGATCAGGCCCACAAGGTACTTAGATCTGACTCACGGGGCTGCCCTGGAAACAGTGAAAGATCATCCCACAGTTTCTCTGCAGGCGAAAATGGAGCTCGGGAGGGCCACAGTTGGCCTTTCTGAGCTCTGTTTTCACTGACAGAGGGTTGCAGGAGACCATCGCAGCCAAAAATGGAGCTCAAAGCCGGTTTTCCCTGGCAGAGTGCTCGGTCTGCCATAGGCACCCCAATAAGAGTGACATCGAGCTGGCCACACCCACCCTGGTCATGCCCCCCATCCCCCCAAGATTAAACACAACCCTGATGCGGTACTCAATGAAATTGAGTTTGACACCCCTGTTGTACCCTCTGTGTATCATTATATCAGATGTACTATCCTTGCCTTTTTAAGAAAAATTAGAAATGTTATTCCACGTTCAATGGAATGCAGTGAGTTAATCTGCTTAAATTCTGTTAATTATAACAATGTTATTCAGAGCAGGATGAGGTGAAAATAACCAATGTACCTAGTAAGTAGTACTGCATTCTTTCATTAAATGTGCAGGTAATCCTTGACTTACAGCAGTTCGTTTAGTGACTGTTCAAAGTTTCAATGGCACTGAAAAAGTGACTTATGACCATTTTTCACAGTTACAACCTTTGCAGCATCCCCATGGTCATGTGATCAAAAGTCAGATGCTTGTAAACTGGTTCATACTTATGACCGTTGCAGCATCCCCAGGTCATGTGATCGCTTTTTGCAGCTTTCTTACAAGCAAAGTCAACAGAGAAGCCAGGTTCACTTAACAACCAAGTTATTAACTTATCAACTGCAGTGATTCACTTAACAACTGTGGCAAGAAATCCCATAAAATAGGGCAAAACTCTTTTAACAAATTCCCATTTCGCAATATAAATTTTGGGCTCAATTAGGGTCATAAGTCAAGAACTACCTGTTCTTCATTTTTGTAAATGGAGAGTGGAATTTACATGAATAATCTATAAAGGAAGTTGAACATTTATAATCTCCTGATATCTTTTCCTTGTCCTACAATAGATCTGTATGATATTATTTGAAACATTCACCAAGTTGAAATAAATAACATTTTATTTAATCCTGAAGAGATTTTATATACACCCACTGATCCAATTTATAATTGGCTTTAACATTTTTTTAAAAGATCTTCAAAAGCTTAAGTGTTTTTTAATGTTTAAGTTTGAAAAAATTCTAAAAAGTTATCCGTAAACTTTTAGGTTAATCCTAATTCAATAGAAATGACTCTGACATTTATTAAATATTATCAAAATATCACGTGCACTGTATTTTAGATTCATATTTTAGGTTTCAATTTGCCCAAAGCATTTGATGCAAAAAGTTTAATTCAGCATGGGATCAGAATTGTGTAGCTTGTTACAGTAAGACAATCACAACGTTTACAAAATTCGTAGGTGGCTATGGGTGGCTATGGTAGGCGTGGCCAGCTCAATGTCACTCATGTCGGGGGGTACCTGTGGTGGCTAAGTGCTAAGACAGGACTTCCCTGAGACTCTCCCTTACTCTCATTATAATCTCCTTCCTTCCTTCCTTCCTTCCTTCCTTCCTTCCTTCC